GGTATATATTTTTATTTACATGGATATGGATTTACTACTTCATAAAAACCATATTCTAAACAACATTGTTTTGTTTTGTTTAGGGTATATTAAATATGAGTAAGGGTTAATTGTTTAGGGTATAGGGAATAGGGTTTAGATTTTATTTTTAGTATTATAGTGCTTAGGGTATATATAATAAATATATTTTCTCGTGGATATGGATTTATGGATGGTTTTAAGGTTAAAGGGTTTAGGGTTTATGGTTTATTGTTATGTGTTTAGGGTTTAGTGTTTAGTGTTTATGGTTTAGGGTTTAGGGTTTAGGGAATATTTTTTAGATATATATGCTATGGGGTTTATTGAATATGAGTAAGGGTTAATTGTTTTGGGTATATGAAATAGGATTTATAATTTCATTTTGGTATTATAGTTGTTAGGGTATATATTTTAAATATATATCCACGTGGATAGGGAATAGAGTTAAGGGTTTATTGTTATGGCTTTTGGGTTTAGGGTATAGGGGTTAGTGTTTAGGACCCTTAACGTATTGTTTAGCGAATATGGTTTAGATATATATGCTATATGGTCTATTTTATATGAGTAAGGGCTTAGGGTTTATGGTATTGTTTAGGGAATATGGTTTAGATATATATGCTATAGGGTCTATTATATATGAGTAAGGGTTTATGGTTTAGGGTATTGGGTTTAGAATTTAATTTTGTATTATAAGGGTTAGTGTATATATCTTTAATATATATCCTCGTGGATATGGATTTATGGATGGTTAAATTTTTAGGGTATATAATTAAGGGTTTATGGTTAAGAGTATACTTATTTTAATTTCGGTTGCTTTTTAAAACCTTCGTTTTTTAAAAATTGGTAAAATTGTACCTCCGAGTTAACGACTGTTAACTTTGCTAACGGAAGCACTAACTGCGGTTAAAACTTAACCCAAGGTGTTTAAGCATATATATACAATCTTGTTTCTGCAGAATTCGAATATGTTATCTTAGTCAGATGGTTAAACGTGGGTTGACTATCCTTCTGGACCTTGGTTCGAACCACCCCTCTGTCTCTTTTTTCTTTAATTTTTGTTTGCTTCAATTTTTTTGCTCGCATCCCAATCACCGACGGGACTGGAACTTGCTGAGATTGGTGGATCAAAGAAAGGATGCAAATTCAATGCAAAACCCTAACTTTTACAGTTTCTTCGATTTCTTCTAACCAAAGCTACCACCATTACCATCTTCAACCACTTTACGGTCATTGAATCCTCCACTCCCGAGTTTCAGAAAATCGAAGAAATTTTTACCAATTTCCTAAATCATGGAATACCACTCCCGATGTTACCAATTTTTTTAAAACGAAGGTTTTAAAAGATAACCAAAATTAAAATAAGTATTTTTATTCCAAATTTAATACTACATGTATTAAACGGCCAAATAAAAATTAGATGACGGTTTTTTCGGGTTTTTTCCCGATAATTAACGGCATCTATAGATTTGTTGGTTTCGACCACATTTTTATAGTTTATGTAGTAAATTCAAATTACAAGTTAGTTCATGTAGTTATAAGCACACTTCAAAGTTTTGTGTATAAATACGATAAAGCAATTAAGTTCGTGGGGGAATTGGCCGTTTCCCCTGACTTTGAATCCCAAAACAACCACACAAATCTAGACAATAAATCTGACCGAGAGCAAACAAAGAAGTTGATTACTATCGTCTATGAGAAACAATACATAGTTGTCATTAATCTGTGCCTTATGTTATGTAATATATGTGCCCTTATTGCCAAAACTACTTTGTAATTATTATTTTTTGAATAAAATGTATAATTTATTCGAAAAACTTTTTTACAACAAATGCATCGTTAGATTAAACGTTTGTAGCCAAAATTTTCAACAAAGACTATATTCTTAGTGTGTTTATCTTGAGGCAAACCATGTGTTCATGCATTCCTCATATCTTCTATTCCTCGTATATTCTTAGTGTGTTTATTTCGAACTTGTTTGTCAAGACTGCGTAGCAAATGAGTTGGAGGAGTTGCAGCTTCGCCATGCCCCCGGCAGTTTCGCTACTTCCAAATTGAGTATATTTTATAATTATTTGAGATACGAAATTTTAGCTAAAGCTACAATTTCCTAAATTTCTCACTATCCTGTTCCGAAGAAATTATTCGGTGTGTGTGGTATTCCATGATTGTTTGCTTTGTAAGCATAATCTTTAACTCGTATTTATGCAACACCGAGACGGATACGAAGACTAAAAACAAGGACAAAATGGAAACAGAATACAACTAAACAGGAACAATTAAAATACGGGAGGGAAATAAATAGATAAGAAAAATATTTATATTTTGAAGATATATATAAAAAAAAGTCATACATAAATACATAAGTCTCAACATAAAAAAAACCTTACTTTGACTTAATTCGGTTATGTATGGAAAGATATAAATAAAAGAGAATATTACTCTGTGAGACACAATTTTCAAACTCATTTTCCCTCTAGAGCAGTTAAGGGGTAGTGGGCAGTTTTTTAAGTTTTTTTACCAAAAACCCCATGAAACTGACATTAACCATAGTTACATATCTATGGTTATCTATTAAAAATATTAATTTATACAGTCTTAGAAAATGTATCCCGTAACCATGACCTAGAAAACTCTATTCCGGCGAGTAAAAGAAACGGCGGTGAAAAATCTTCACTTCTCCACCTCTGTAAACAAACTTCAGGTCCTGTAAATTCTAAAATTCAGCTCTAGTTCGTCAAGAGTATCCGATAATTCTAAACCCAGTTCGTCGACCGTGACATAAATTGAAACTCGATTCCCTGGAGAAAAAAACGGCGGTCATCTTCTCTGTTTCTCCACTTCTCCACTTCTCCACTTCTCAAAAGTATCAATGACAGGTAATCGATATCTTATTTTATTTGATCTCACTTTATATTCTATATTTTCATCAATACTTGTCAACTTATTTGCAGGTGCTGCGGAAGAAGCGGCAATTGCCTGGGATTTGAGACTCCCTCCAAGGCTTTTTGCCACTGACCGTTACCCCGACGCTCGTCTGAATA